GGGTTTAGGGATTAGGGTTTAAAGATTACTGCTACGGACGGAGAAAATCTTTCACCACCTCTTTACCCTGTAGCCCAACAAGTACAGCAGTTGGGGATCTTAAGTGGCCCTTAAATGGTGAAAACTTCCCCCCCATCCACCATATGGGTTTTACTGGTACTTTGTATTTCACTATTGCTCCTAAAGCAAGGAGCTTAAGTAAAAGCATATGAAGGATCTGTCCACGAGTTTTTGGAATAGTCCTTCATTTCAGGGCTTTACATGTCCTGGGAAGCTGAACGAATTTACAAGGCTTGGGGGCTTGAGGGGGGACAAGGATCTGGGGTTTAGGCATGAGGGGTTTCGGATTTTCGGCTTAAGCTTGGGCACTGCTGTAGAAGGGCTCTTTCGGCTGAGGGAGAACGGACAGGGTGTGAGCTATAGGATTTGGGCTGGCAAGTTTGGCCTGCAAGGATCGCCGTGGGCATATCAACTGCCCCATGTATGAGTCTTGCTGGGTTTAGGGGTTTAGGGTTTAATCAGGAGCCCCCTCCATACCCTAAACCCTAACGAACCTTTTCCAGCGATAATCAGATCAACTCCCCCCTAACGACGATTCCCGCAAGTATATACACTTCTTCTGTCCCAAAGGATCCTAAGTATTCAGATGGTGCAACGTAAGGTTTCCAGGGGTAATATGAGGGTAATGTAGGGTTTAGGGCTCTAGGTATCTATACGGTGCAATGTAAGATTTCTATACTTGGGCTTAATAATATGGCTTAGGTCAGTCTTCCCTATAAAGGTACTTAGGGTCCTTTGGGTACAGTAGTGGCAACAATTGTTATTAGGAGCTCGGGATTCTAAGGTAAGGCCGCCAGAAGGGAACCTGTGGACAAAGAGACTTCAATTTCCTTACTGGATGGAGGGGTTACCACAAACTAAGGGCCGCCGAGAAGGGGCATGGGGAACTTCATAGGGTTGTGAAAGGATGTGTAGCGATATATGGAGTTTAGGTAGAAAGTTAAGTCTCTGGGTTGCCAGAAAACAGTGTCCCATTCCGAAAACCCAAATCAAAACGCCACTGTGCTACATGGTCTGGTAGTTCGAGGTAGGGCTCCAAATAGCCCAAGGCAGCTACCAATTATCGCCAAGAGCAGTAAAAGCAAGCAATTGTAGACTTTGCGCCTACAGCCCAACAGAGCCGTCCCTTTCGGCTTAGGGAGTCCAAATACCAAACACATGAGAGTAGTGTTTTTTGGTGGTTCAACCCAGTAAGATGATATTCCTTATACAAAAATACTATACCCCAAAAGGAGGATATAATCTTACTCTATATTGGGTACCATAATCTCCCCAAAACAGTACTACTCACTTGAGGAATTGGGGCTTTGGGAATAGTAGCTGTACACTGTAATGTGGAAGGCCTTATCAGGTTGTATAAGGGCTCACTGTCAGCATGATCTCAAGTGCAGCCACAGCAAGTGAAAGAAGGCATCTGAAGCCAAGCAGCTGCCAAAGTTCCAACACAGCGCTAGACGCTTTTCCGGGATCCACTCGGTCTTCAGCGCAAACTCTTTGCATATAATGGCTTAGGCGATTACTGTGTGCACTCCTGCCGCGGATGTCTGTAGCCAATGCCAAAGGCGAACAAGGACCCCAGTAGAATGTGGGACACTCGAACCCTTAAAAGGTCGGAAGATCATTGTAGGGTGCTTGATTGGGGTCCCGCATGGATGAATGCAGTAGGAAAATGTCAAGTGCACGATGACAATTTACTTGCAACGAAATCTGGATCATGTAGGAATACGGGGCGTGCCAATAAAGCCAGTAGATGTGCCAAAAAAAGCTGTCAGGACCAGCATGCCTGAGTTTGGGAACACTGTAGACTTAATGTGAGCTATAGTCTAAACTCCTGGTATCGCCCTTCATGTCCCCTAGTAGTCCCCTATATAACCCCTTTAAGGAGATAAGACTATGGCTCATATAGGGATTACAGGTGGGTAGATTGTCCGAGCTTCTGCAGATGCTAGTGGCAGCTAGTGTTTTCAGAAACGGATACTGTACATAACGGCAATGCAGAAGGTCGTTCCGGTGTAACATGGAGCGTAGTTAGGATGCATGGTTGCCCTGGCACTCAAAGCCGCACTCAGCAAAACCAACAAACCCCAAGACACCTCACCATCCGGCTATTGGGGTCTCAGACTTTGGGGGCTCTCGTGGACCCATGCTTGTCAGCACCCGCTCCTCATCATTAAAGTCGGCCAGGGCCTGTTTGCGCGGAGGTTTCCTAGTTGGGTATTCGCGCTTAGGGTTGGGCCTAAGGTTCTGAAGCTACATTTGGGGAATCCCCAGATTGAGTTGTGATCCCGCATATTGAACCGATACAGCCTGCTTCTGATTCTCACGCTATACGGAATGGATTGAGCAACAAGATCGGTCAGCCTACTACCAGGCATGCTACTCTGATGTGTTGACACTACCAGGCCAGTAGTAGCAAAATGTTAATTAGTCCAAGCTTAGTAAGAGCATCCAACAGAATGAAACTAGTTTCCCAGAATGAGTTAGCTTTTGGTGAGTTCCCATACCCAGGATTGCATTGCTTTTGGGTGCATGATGGGGTCCCTAAACCCTGAACTCTAAACCCTAAACCAGGGCCCCATATTCTGGCATAGACGGCTGTTTACTGGAATAACACGAAGCCCGCAACGCTGCAGATTGTAGAAGGCTTGAGTCCCAATGACTCCAGCTTGGGATGTGGGTAGTTCCCAAACATAGGGTTGAGGGCTTAAAGTTGAAGCTTTAGCCGTTCCCAAAATTAGGGTCCCATTTGGGTAGCCCTAAACATCAGGTGCCGAAATAGAAGCTACAGCCTAAACCCTAAACCCTAAACCCTAAACCCATAGTTGTGAGAAAAAAACAATGTATACTGCAGACTTTAAC